CCTCACCCTCACCCTCACCCCACCGCGGTCCCGCAGTCCGCTGAAGTGACCGGCCGCATCGACCAGATCAAGAAGAAGATGGCGCTGCCGACGTACGACAAGACGCCCGAGGACGTGAAAGCAGCGGACGTGGACCGGTTGTCCAAGGCCGAAGCGGAGCTGGCGGCGGCGGCGGCCGCGATGGACGCCATGCGGGCGCTGCTAGCGGCGTCGTGAGCACCACCGCAGCGTCGTCAGCGCCGTCATCAGCATCAGCTCGCGTGCTTTTCGGGTTCGCATGCTCTTGTGCTGCGTGCTTACTGGCCGCAGGTGTGTTTCCTTAGGTGTGCGGAGGACCTCTGCTTCAGGGAGCTGCTGCACGTGTGCGTGTGTCAGGTTGTGCGTTTGCGTGATATGTCGGGACGTGGTGTGCATGTGGGGTGTGGGTGGGTAGGTGTCTGCTGTAGAGGTGTTGGGTGTTTACGGCGGTGGAGGCTGTCGGCTCCCATGCATCCCCCCATAGGATGTGTTCGGGATAAGGGGTGAAGGATGAGTTTCGTGCCGCGCGCGTGTGTGTGATGTGAATTAAGTGTGGATATGAATTAAAGTGTGAATTAAGTGTAGGGGCATGGGCGGAGGAACGACATGGAGGGTATTGGAGGATGAGCTACCAGTGAGTTCCTACAAGACAAAAGCTGAGAGGTGACGACTGGCAGGGATCGTTTGTTTAGGGTTGGGATTGCTCTGACATCGCTTGCGGCGGATGTTTACAGATGCACAAAAGTTTGTGTGCTGACGGTACGTGTGTGCGTCCGGGGTATATGCCGGGACTGGCCGGGCCGCGGGGCTGCAGGGCATTGATGCCTGCCCGGGTCCCATGTGCAGGTTGTTGGCAGATCTTGGGGATGGCGGTCAGCGCATACGGCTTGGTGGGTGGTCTGGATGTGGATGTGGATATGCAGTCGGGTGCAGAACACCAAAACCTAGGAGAGGGAGGGCTGGTCTGGCAGCGAGCAGGACAAGCAACGTCTTCTTCCTCTCCGGCCGATTGCTTCTATTCCGGACTTACCAAACCTTCCTGTTGGGGGCCCCAACTCTCTGCCGGGCAGCATGGTCGTCGGGGTCGAATCGGCGGCCTTTCCTTCCGTCCATGATGAAATGTATCCGAAGATGGACCTTAGGATGCTTTTTGTAGTGTGATAGATTTGATGTGTTGTTGCAGCGAAATTTTGCGTGCGTTCTGTGACAAGACGGCTGCGGCGGCGGAGGGGTGTGAGGTTATGACGTGCGGGAGGCCTGGGGCATGCTAACATCGTGACGGCGCGGCGGCTTGCTTGAGGGGAATACCGGAGGTAGCGCTTGCTGGTTAACCCGGACTCGGAAGAAGGATATGTGTGTGTGTGTGTGTGTGTGTCACACCTCAGTTGCGTTACCCGGAGAGGTGAAACGAGCCCTTACGAGCCAGAGGCCCAAGAGCCTAATATATATAGATGGCCAATGTTAATACTTTCCCGTTTGGCGTCTTCGTTGGGCAAGGGCGTCGACGGACAAGGGGACGCACCCAGGGGTAGTCACGTGGCCGGTTAGGTGTTGGCGCTTGGCCGTGTGGCTGGCTAGGGGAGCTGTGAGGGGGAGCTGTGAAGGAGCACAGTGACGTGCGTATGTAGACAGCTGTAGACAGTGCTTGTGGCACGACAGGCAGCCGAAACGACGCGAATGGCACTGACAGGCGTAAAAGCTTAAATCCCTGCTAGTGGTGCACATAGGCGTATGGAAGCTGTGGGGGGGCTGCATCAACAGGGTTGCATCTACCATCCTGGGGAGCGTCTGGTTGGGGCCCACGGGCAACCCACGGGGGATGTGATGCGCCATTACCCGAGCTAGCATTATCCTAGTAGCCAAGCTGCACGTGATAGGGATACACGTGAACGACTGCAACACACGGCTTATAATGCAGTGCGTGCGCAGGATGGGGTGGGGGGTTTAGGGATTGGCTGTGTGAAACAGTCCACAGGCAGAAGGCCGGCTGGTAAGAGCATGTTATGCGCCTTTTTGCGGGATGCAGCTGCTGCTGTTGCACCACCTCTGGTGTCGCTGCTCGCTCTCCTGTAGGAAGCTCCAGGAGGATCCAGTAAGCAGTAGTGCAGCTGTTGAGAGCTGCCCGTGTTGCGTCCGCCCGGGTTATGCATGGAGCAGTAACAGCGAAATTTGTAGTGCCGCTGAAGTCCAGTCGTGGCGCGAGAGCTCCCACGCGGGCGGCTGTTGTTTTGGTATGCAGTATGCTCCCCTGGACTACATCGAGCAAGGTAGATCGTGTTGAAGACGTCTGTACTTACACATTGCCGACCCACGACACGAGATTGTACGTCTCACAAATCTATCTTAACTCTCAAACTATTTGAGTTGATAGCTGCTGCCCGCATCAAAAAATTGGGCACACAATCCAGTGGGCACACAATCCAGTGCCCCCTAAACCATACTAAGCTCCGTAAATTGGGCACACACTCCAGTGCCCCGTAAACCATACCAAGCTCCCGGACGGAGGATGATGTGTAAAGCACCGCCAGCTTCAAGGAACTCCCCCCAAACTATCCTGTGCTTACAACCTAGAGTGTTCCCGTCGTCTGCAAGTCCCCTAGCTGCGTAAACACGAGGTCATCAACATCCCTCGCTGTCTGCCTTTCGCATGCTCCACGATGCAGTTACTTGTTAAGCTTTGCCTGGATGCCAGCCATCACCTAATGTTTTGAATAATGCGGGTAGGGGGATGCATGTTAGTAGGAGCACGAGCAAGCTTTCCCAAACCTGGAACTGAAGAAAACAAAGTCACCCGTTCAGGCATATGGGGTAAGGAGTTAAAAAAAGGTTATTGACTTAAAAATTACCTCTTGCAAGCTGGGCGGTGCCTTTGGCAAGTCCTTGCTGTGCGGCTCAATCAAATTTGGCTTGATGATAGTAACATAAGATAGCCCTGAATATCACAATATTTGCGAATTGCTAACCCTGCTCCCGCTGAAGGAGGGTCAGACGATGTGACAAGCTTGGTACGTACCAGCTGCATAAATCATAAGGCTCCAGACCATCACAGGCTCCTTGTAAACTGCAGAACGGAATGCCTCAGCTAGGCCCATGATGCCGGTAGCTAAACCCGCAATGCGCTGACGCTATGCGGCCCTGTCCAGGGCTGGTTCGTCCTGTAATGCTTCAAGGCACGTACAGCAGCTAACTGCAAACTAAGCCTCATGGTTATGGCATGGGGATGCGAGTCGACATGCCGGAATGTACGAAATACGGACAACATATGCACCTTTTGCATAGTGTCCCTTGCACACGATAAATGGCATGTGTGTTGCAGTCTTACACGGGGAAATGCCCACAGCCGTTCTAGACATTGCTTCGATGGTCAACACCTACTGCCTTGGGTTTCTTTGGTTTTCACGCTTTTATACGCAGATCAGCCAGATCGTAGCTCCCACCCCGTCAGGCCAACAAGCCACTCCTTCCATTTCCACTCACAGCCCCATGGCTCTGAGCATAGCTGCATAAGCCGATCTGGTGTGATGATGTTTTCATCCCCTTCCGTTGAACACCCTTCCTGCTGCACCCTACGTTGAGAGGTTCGCCAAGTCGCAACAAACCAATCTGCGCTCTCCGCAACGCTGAACGAGAGACGCCTCTTTGACAGTACTTCTTCTTAGCAGCAACATATCGCGCCAAGAATGCGCAGCAGTTCCGAGCCGCTCACGCGCGCGCGCATGGCATAACACCCTGTACAACCAGAATAATCGCAGGCCATTCTGTGCGATGCTGACACCCTATTACCCTGGTTTACATTCACCACGTAAGCTGTCCTTGTGCGTTGTGTCCTTGGACGTCTCTGTTCCTCTCCTTGCCTCCCTTTCCCTTCCCCGAGCAGTCTCAACGTTACACCCTCAAACTCAGGGCCGACGCCCCATCTCCATCACCGTGCCCCATCATCTCCGTCAACGCTGACACCCCGCGTTCAGCTCCTCTCTAGGGCCTTCCCACAATCCAGCCATATGGTTGGGATCTTGTTCGCAAATTATTTAGCACTAAATAATCTTTATTAACCCACCAGGTGCAGGTGCACAAGCACAAGCCAAACTGCTTGCCATTTGTACGGTTAAAAAGCTCTTATCATACGCTTATCAAGTCCGGTTTCTTCATCACTGTCCACTTGAGCCTCACCCTCCTGTCCACCCCACACACGCACGTGCCACTGGCCACCACCACCACCAGCCGGCACGACGGCCCCATCCTGGCAACTCACAGTAGAGGTCATCACGCATACAAAAGCAGCTAGTTGGGAAATGTTGGGACAAGAAGGGGAGAGGAGCTTTACAGACACACACACATTCATCCTGTAAAACACATCCAGAGCTGCGAGATCCGGAACTCGTCAACACATTTGAACTGCCCCCCGAACAGCTTTCTAAGAAGCATATTGCCCTCCACGCATACATCGCCAACCAGCCACTCGAACAACCGAGGGGCCAACCACAACCACAACCACAACGACAAAAAAACACTCAACCCATCCTGGGCGGAGCTCCTCTCCTCAAATGCGCTTCTTCTTCACGGCACCTGGCGGCGGCCGCACAGGCACCGCCTTGTTGCGCTCCTCGCGCTCTCGAACCACGTCCATGGCATCCTTAACCCAGTTGTTAAACGTGAAGAAGCACAGACCGGCGGACAGCCCCACCGCGGCGTCCAGGATCGCCTCCGAAACCGTAAATACGGACAGCCACGACGCTGGGTGTCATGGGAAGATTGCCGTCATGTACACATGGGAAGGGGGCCAGGGGGAACACCGGAGTAACACGGGGGGGGGAGGGAGGGGGGACCAGGGGCAGCGGCGGCCTCAAGTAGGGCCTGTGAGGTGGTGAGAGATAGGTGGTGGAATAGGGCGAGGTGGGGCCTTAAGAAGCAGCTGCGGGTTGAGGTTGGGGCTGAAAGTCGACTGGGCGTGGTGGCGCCTTGGAGGGGTCCTTTAGGGGTCGCGATGCGGCGGTGTGGCGGGCGAGGAAAGGGCTACGGGAAGGGGGGGGGGAGATGAACCACACACGAGGGGGAATACTGCGCAGTGAAGGGGGGGGAATACTGCGCAGTGAAGGACGGGCGCTGGCTGCTGGGTGGGTTGCTAGACGACAGACAGCTGACATCCAGGCAGATTGACAGACAGACAGACAGACAAACAGGTAAATAATGCCTGCAGAGGCTCTCACTCACGTGCAGTGATGGTTCCCTGGTCTTTGAGCTGTTTGTACAGTCGGCGGGAGATTTGTTTTGTCTTGGGATCCAGTAGGTGGTAGCGCCACAGCGCGACAAAGTGCTGCAGGGCAGTGGGGGTGTGGGGGGTCCGGAGGGAACGGGTGCAGGAGAAGACGACTCTTGAGCGCTTGAGGTGAGGTGAGGTGAGGCGAGGTGAGGTGGGGTAAGCGGACAAGGAAGATGTGTAATTGTGACATCCGCCGCAATTTACGTGCGAGATTCATTTCTTGGACCCAACGCACGCGCAACCCATCCATGATTGGCGAAGCTGGAACAGGAGATGAAAAGGTAGGCAGGACCGAACCCTGTAACAATGCCAATAGTAAATGTAGTAGTATGGAAAAGTAGTATTTCGTACAGAACCCTACGTGACCCCGGGCCGCCTCCCAACCGCTCCCGCAAGCTTCGCAGTGGTCAAAGTCCATCGTCCCCCTCCTCCTTACCCCTCCTCCTCCTTACCCCTCCTCCTCCTTACCCCTCCTCCTCCTTACCCCTCCTCCTCCTTACCCCTCCTCCCCCTTACCCCTCCTCCTCCTCCTTACCCCTCCTCCTCCTTACCCCTCCTCCTCCTCCTTACCCCTCCTCCTCCTTACCCCTCCCCGGCAGCTCCATCAGAATTCCATGGCATGATTGGGGGGAGGGCGTCTGCAGCCTCTTCCTCTTTTCCCTCTCCCACATCGCCCATGCGACTTCCTCCCTTCTTCTTCCCTTCCAGCCGCCGCCAAGCGCGCCTCCTCTCCCTTTCCCTTTCCCGCCCTCCGCCAGTCTGCCGGTCCTACAGGCCACCCACCCATCCAACCAGGTCACCCAGCCTCCCGCCCCTCGCAACCCACCAAGGCCACGGTGCCCATCACCAGCAGCGCCGCCACCTTCATCAGCGGCAACACACAGCGACCTCGGGGCTTCCCTGCGCGCAGACGGGCGAGCCAGGCGAGCCCAGAAAAAGGTGAGGAAAAGGCCGCCTAACGTTGGCCTTTTGGAAACGGCTTCAGAGTCCCTAACAGGAGGAACGGAACAGGACACAACGATGCCAGGACTTCCTTCCCCCCCCCCTCACACACACACACACGCAAGCAGGAACGAAGCGTGCGTGCATAACGCGAAGTGAAAACAGCACTGGCGATGACAAAGGCGATGAACACGGCGTCATATACGGCGACAGTTGTAAAAAATAGCGGCTCGCATATGGTCACTCGTTCCACCTCTCTGGGTAACGCAACCGAGGTGTATGTAACACACACACACGCGTGTTAATAGGTTAAACGTACAGACATGACAGTTTAGGGCCTGTCAGCCATATACGCGTACACACGTTACCTGCGTAGAAGCATATGTTACCAATCAGCAGGAAGGCCACCAGGAAGTACAGGAAGGGATCCGGATAGCGGTCTACACAGGGGTGGGGGCGGGGGTGGGGGCGGGGGTGGGTTCGGAGCGCAGAGGGGCAAGGAAAGGGACGGGGCGGGAGAGGTATTGCGAAATGAGGGGACCTCAGATGTGTCCATGTCTGAACAGATGAACGGAGCAAAGTGGATATAAGTGGATGGCGAGGGGGTGACAGAGGGAAATCCCGGTGATAGAAGCAGAGGGCTGGCAAAGCCCTGGCGGCCAGGCCAGGCGAGTAGAAGGTCCTGCCGACAAGACAGGGGGAGGCGCGGCTGGGTCGTGTCCAAGCCCAACCAGGTTCAGATGTAATAGGACGACGTTGCTAGGTCGCCGGATTCGAGTTCCAGCAGAAGCATAACTCATATGCTCTGTTGTGCAAGGAGACGAGCTGTTGAAAACCCAGATGATAACTTGTTTGCCTGTAGGCTCCAGCGGCCCCCCCTTTCGACTGTGCAATGCGGTCGTGTCCAAGCTCCACCCTTCGGGATATCACTAGCTCCGGACTGGACTCCGCTTACCTTCCATGAAGAAAGGAATCATGTACCACGCTATCTTAAGAAGGAGCATCCCTGACTGCAGAGTGATAACAGACGGCGGAGGTTGAGGTACAAGGGCTCAACGGTGCTTAGGGCAGGCAAAGGCGCGAGCTGCATTCATAATACCTGCATTTGGTGCAGAAAGAATGTCGCCGACATGTTCACCGCCATACGCTTGTAGCCTGTAAGCGACAGGTTTAGTTAGGAAAGGTATTATGTCCCAAGCTGTGAAACGTGGCTTTCCAGGTTTGCGATGCGAAACAGGTGCGCATGGCCCGGGGGACAGTATACAACGAAATGCAAACAGCGGGCACTTACGGTCTTCAATAATCTCCCGATAGGACCAATCAGATCCATCTGTTCCCTCCTGCGTTTGATCAGCAGCAACTCAGAGGAGTCAGGTCAGCGGCGACTGATCATCGGCCGAGCTTCGGATCACGTAGGCCTTTGAGTTTACTGCGAATCTTACTGGTCGATGTGGCATGATATCTAGTCCCAAGAAATTTAAGAGTTAGAACGCTGCTTGTGCTGTTCTAACTGAAAGCCTGGCGTTTGGAGAAATTATAATAACAAAATTTTGAGTTGGAAGAATACGTAGTCATTGAGCTTTACTGCATACGAAGATGCTTCCAATTCACACATCGCACTCGTTGATTAACGAAGTCCGTTACGAGGACGAGTCGTACCAGCTATGTTACAGAACGCGATTCTGTTGCTGCTTGTGCGCTGTAGCTGCAGATTATGTGATACATCTGCGCATTATTAACACGACCATGGAGCCGCAAGGGGCCGGCATTCCGCTGCCCATCGCGGCGCTGTCACTCCATGCGTTTGCTCCCAACAACGTCTGTGTGCAGCGGCCGGCCAGGCCAACCAAGGGTGAGGGAGGAGCAACTATACCTTCGCATCCATGCTACCTTCTTTTCTGAACAAACCTTTTCCGGAAGCCGAAGCCCTCCTCGCTTCCTCCAATCCACGTCTACCCAACAGCTGCTGCGCCAAAGTCTGTTATCGTAATCCAAGATGGACCTCGCAGCCACCCATTAGACGCCAATCTGGTCGGAGGTCTGGCCGATGGCGAGCGGTCAGCGCAGCACCAGCTGCATCCCCAGCCTCACCCCCTGAAGCGCCTGATGGTCGCTATTCCCGGAGCGCTAAGCCGTCTGGTCAGCAGCCCAACACCCCGTCAGGTCCGGATTGTCACCACGCAAAAAAAAAACACCCGTCTTTTGAATCACACGTCGCCGCCACATCCCCCCCGTCCCCACGCGCAGGCGCTCCTCCCCGGTTCCACACCGCTGTCGGATATGCGCGTCTTTCCTTCTGTGGTGAGCTGGGGGGGAGTGAAGAGGTGGGCTCCGGAGCGTACGGCGGTACGGCGGTACGGGTCTGGACGCGGCTGTCCGCACGTTAGTGCACTGTGCTGCGACGTATTGTAAACTTAGCCGTGTAGTCATGTGGTCAGTGGGGCCGGTGGTCGCGTGGGGTCAACCCCCCTCGCGCCCGGGAGGACTTTCTGTCCGTCTTCTGTGTCTCCTTACCGTATCCAAGTTTCAGCCCACTCCCTCCCTCCCCTCTTCCCCTTCCCCCCCCCTGGACTCGAGGAACACAGCTCCCCAGGCGGGCGGCCCGTGGCGGCGGCGCCCTCCCCGGCGGCGGCGCCGCCCGCAAACCTGCCGTAATGTGGTTTCGGAACGATCTCCGGTTGCACGACAATCCTGTCTTAGATCGTGCCTGCCGCGAGGGCACCTCCGTACTACCCGTGTACGTGCTTGACCCACGTGACTACGGAAAGGTACGGCACAGGGGTGTTGTAGGCGCCAGGCGTGTTGAAGGTTATTGCGTCTTTGTGGGTCTTTGCCGGTGGTGGTGTATGTGTGCGTGTGTTTTCTAGTACGGCATACAATGGTCCAGCACCTGTGCGTATTTCCCTTCCACCTTCGGACTTTTTCACGTCGAACCTTTACTCGCACCTCACTATCTCCGTTAAGAGTTAAGAGCTACTCTGACACTCTGAGGCCGTCTCTATCTTTCGGCCCCCCCCCCTTGACTTGGCAGCAGCTTCACTCGCTCGTGGTTCGTCTTTTCCCCCCTCGACTCTTCCACACCTATTGCGATACATCGCTTGCCGACCACCGTCAACGACACGTCACATACAGCGCAATGTTTCCAGAACACATATGAATTGCGCTGATACGCGGGAAGAATTATCGCGCCCTCTAGCAGCAGCAGCAGCTGCATTTGTTATTGCGATTATTGCTACCTATCGACCCGTGCCGAGGTCCACCCTCAAACCCTAACCCCGCGCAACCCTTTCCCCACCCCCCACCTCGCGCGCCTACCTCTTCCCGCACCTCCCCTACCCACTGCGCAAAACACACGGAAACCCCCCCCCCCCCCCCCCACACACAGGGACCCAATGGCTTCGGTCGCACGGGGCCCACCCGCGCCCAGTTCATCATGGATGCCGTACAGGACCTCCGCTCCCGCCTTCGGGCAGCCGGTAGTGACCTCATTGTACGGATGGGGCACCCCGAGGAGGTGGTTCCGGAGCTAGCCCGTGTGGTGGGCGCGGGGACAGTGCACTGTCAGACGGAAGTGACGGAGGAGGAGACGCGGGTGGGTGCGTGTGTGTGTATGTGG